AAATCAAAGAAGTCGCGACTTACTCACTCCAAGACACGTTGTCCGTGAACAAGTCTCGAGGGGACATTTGTAGATACATAAAAATTGTGTCCAATCAAATCGCACCACGTGGAAATTAATTTATTAAAAATCAAGTTATATTTTCTATTTATATTTTAGGAATTTCCATATATTTAATTCCTAAATTTAAATAGTTAATTAATTGATATTTTAATATTTTAATTCTTGACCAATCAAATAATGCCTAGTGTCAAATCCTTATTCTTGGTAAATAAATCATATCTTCTAGAATATCTTAGAAGATTTAAGTGGATCTAGAAGATCTTGAAAGATCTAAGTAGATCTTAAAGACCTTATGTGAATCATCATGGACCAATCAAATCGCTACCTACGATTTTTAAATTTGGTAGGGTGCTCTCTCCTACACCTATAAATAGTGGCTCTCCCTAATGTCAAAAACACACATCATAATTCATATTTTGAAGTTCAAGAGCTCTAGAGAATTCTCTCTACAAGTTTCAAGTGTTCTTGAAGATTCGAAGCCGTTCTTGAAGATTCGAAGGAAGATTCAAGCACATTCAAGCTCAACACCGACATTTAATTCGGAAACAAGCTACCAAGCCTCCGAATTACGTTTTTATTCAAGTTCAAGTTTAAGATCTCTCGATGAGATTCAAGTGTTCTTGAAGATTTAAAGGCGTTCTTGAAAACTCAAAGCAAGATTCAAGCGCGTTCAACCTTAAGACTAGCGTTCAATCCGGAAACAAGCTGCGAAGCCTCCGAATAACGTTAGTAAATTCAAAACCGGCGTGAAGAAGATTCGAGATCTACTTTGCGGCGAAGACCAATGATTCGTGTTCTTCGAATTCTTGGGATATTTTGACGTTTGATCCGGGAAAAATCTTTCAAGCCCTCGGATTAGTTCAAGTCAAATCAAGTCAAGGAGAAGATCAAGCCGAAGATTTCGCTCCAAGACTTAAAATATTGTTTGTGAGAAGAATCAGAGGAAAAATAGAGATTGTAACCCGCAATATATTATTTTGATTCAAGAATTTCATTTGAATAATATTTTTCGTGTTTTTAAATTCAATTCACGAAATTTGTTGTTACAACTAGACAAATAAAAAATTTTGGGAACAAAAATAATAAATGTTTTAAAAAAAATTATTTAACATAATAAAAAAACAACAAAATTAGGTTTAGGTTAATGTACATTCTTTTCTTTTCAAAGAGGAAATTACTTGGGATGTTGGAGATGATTTTTGGTCGAAATGATTCAATTTACTGAATTTTTAGGAAGATGAGAATTTTTTTATTATTATTATTATTATTATTTTTTATTTTAATATTTTTTGATTGAAGCGTGCAGAATTTGGGAAGATGATTCACTTTAATGAGGCGTGCAGTATCTTACTCTTTTTTTTTGTTCTTTTTTTTTATTATTGGTAGGTAAACATTACTAAGGGTATAATTGTATTTTTAACCTCCAAAATTGCTAGATTTCATTGTTTTACCAAACATGGCTATATTTCATTTTTCCCTTAATAAAAGTGTTATAAATCTGCGGGACTGTTTTTTTTATACATTTTGTTAATATTAAAGTATATAATATATTTATAATAATACACAATCTATTAGATATATTGATATATGAGAAATTATTTTAATAAGTATATGTAATTAGGTATGTACAATAAAGATACATTTATATTTATTGAATTTGTATATATGTTAGCACGAACCAAAACGCTTTCTTCATAACAAAACCTATTTAAGATTGATAAAATTGACCTGAACCAATTTGTTATCAAAACTCACAGATCAATCTACCTTTTAATTGAACGTTAAATAATCTATATATAATTGCTGACAAAGAATTTAATAAAATTTATTTTGTTTCCCGTTTTTTTCCGTTACTTTTGCATTAATCAAATAATTATATTTTTATTTATTTTATTTGTATAATTGCTACAATAACTAACGATAAAGTCACATTAATTGTTATTCTTTTATACAGCTTATTTAAAACTATATATTTGAAATTATTGTTTCCTTATTTTTTTTCAACTCATTAAGCAATATGCCCGAGTGAGAGCGGGGATTATCCCCTTGGGATCTTTGTCTATTCTCCTTTTGGGAGCTTTGTCGTTTTGTTGTTTTAGTATTTGTCATGTTCGTAGTGTTTCGAGTTTATGTTTTGGTTTTTAGCGTTGCTAGTGTCGATCCTAGGCGGACTTCAGTTCTAGCCTCCCAGTTTATTCAGTTGTTGGTTGTATTATTTAGGTAGCGGTTGTACGTACCTTTGCACATTTGTGCGATTTGACAGGTCGAAAAATGTGCATGTTTTATATATTTAATAGTGTATTTTTATATGCTTAATTTATTCGCACGTTTATATATTTTGACTTATATATTATTATAAATTTATGTACTTTGATATTTTATTATCTATTTTCAGTATTTTGAAGAATACTCGAAGATGTAGATGAATAGGACCCGAATTGTTGGCTACTTAAATTTTTGGCATGAAAAAGAATTTGGGCCCAAGATTTAAAAAATCAAAAGCCCAATAAATGGGACACATCCCCTATATATAATTCTCGAAAGCGCTGAGCCTACGTGGTTGCTTCTGATGCTTCAGAATCCTATTTGGCGAAGAATCATACTTTGTAATTAGAGTTGGACAAATAATATTGATATATTAATAATTAATAATCTAGGTTCAGACATTCTATAAATATTATTTAGCTAACTTAGGTATTTTAATATCATTTGTACTAATATAGCCCTTTTAATTCTTTGTAATTTTACATAGTGAGTCACTAAGTGACTAACATATCCCCGACTTTTGATTTACTTCCTTCAATTAGCTATTGAATTGTAAATGTATTTTAAAAGTTGATAACTTTTGTATTTCTTATCGGTTTTACATATATAATATATCGAATTAATCATCTTTTGATGATATTCGATTTGACATCTATATTGTATATATGAAATAAATAAATTATATTTATCTTTATAATAATAAAAAATAAAAATATTTATGAAAATTCATTAAAAAAATAAAATAATTTCTCAGTCGATATATTTATGTTTAATGTAGTTATATGTTGTAAGTTAAAAAAATTATTATAATATAACACAAGTAAGTCGCACCAATAAAAGATAACATACTAAATATATAACTTTAGATTTTAAGAAAAAAATTAGCACACATGTAATAATAAAAAGTGATATATTTTTTTTCATTAATTTTAAATTTTAAGAAAAACATTAGCAAACAATTGTGTAATACACAGGCGTTGTTAGTAGATATAAAAATATCTCACGCTTCAAAAGAGATGCGGATAACATTG